GATAGAATTTCTCGATGGACTAGTCGTTAACGATGTATCTTGTTAATTCTTTTCTTAGTATCTCATAGAGAATGTGTAATGAAACTTTATTGGAAGTTGACTCTGCCAAGTATCACTATTCACAAATGGAATAGTACGACAACTGATTAGTTCAGTCCAGTTTGACCTACTCAGGCCGATTCTGTCTCTGGATCTATCTTTCAACAAGTTCCAAATTTCGTTGTTGCTCAAAGTTAAATACAATACCATAGCTGATAATTTATTAGAGTTCCATATTATTAAAATTCATTATTCTACAAAAAAAACTAGATTTTAAACGTCTGTTCTGTTGAAAATAATTATGAATTGCTTAATTCGATCCAATTTAGTTTGATTAGTTGCATGCATGAAAATAATTGATATTAGATGCATTAATTTATAAACTTGTTTCTATAAAATTGTTACTAAATAATTCTTTGTTTTTGATTTTTTTTCTATATTCTACTATGCAACCTTGGGGAGCTTCATATTGACAAAACAATAAGAAGAAATAAGTCTTTTTTTCCATTCCTATGGTCGTAAGCAGATCATACACGAAACTTTTTCTCTTGTTGGTTTTTTGCGTGCCACTATGGATTAACGATAGACGTTTCTCCTCCATGCTATGACACACCTTGTTAAACTCCAAAAAGAAAAAAGAATGAATGAATAAAATGAACAATGTCATTATTGTCATGCAACAATCACCTATTTATGATCCTCAAAATAATCCGATTAAATCTAGAGAAAAAAAAATATAATGATACCTCGAAGTTATTGTAGTATTTCTTGGGTTGAATTATCTTTTAATGATCATATTAGAAAGTCTAAGCCTTGGTATTTATCGTGATTTTTTTGATTTATTTTCGGGATAGTAATATAGTTAATCTAGAATTAAGTTATTCATTTCGTAAAGATATTACATTAATATGGTTATTTGCTCTATTAACATTTATCATTTCATTTAGATTTATTACATTAATGGAAACAGTTTACTTTTTTCATTAATATCTACTGATATTTTTTAATTATTTATCGCATAGTTTCTTGGTGATTTACAGGGATTTCCGCCCGCCCCCCCCCCATTTTTGGATGATAAAATCTAAATTTTTTTTCGACTTTTGGTTCTTCATCACTAGTATAATTTGGGAATATTCTCTGTTCAATGCGTTCTGCATTATTTGCTAGTAATTCTATTAAACCCAACTCTCGAAATTCCTAGCAGAAAAAACTCACGCTGCAATTATTCTTTGTATGCAAAATTGCTGTAATGTTAATGAGTATTTCTCATTTCAAAGGTGCTGAAAGCATAGTCCATGGATCTCTAGCATGGCCAGTTTTTGATCATTGTAGTTGAAGAAAAAAAGTCCTGATATTTACAGAAGACTTTCTTTTCTTTTTTCTCGAAATCAGTTTTTACACAAAAAAAGTGCAGAACCGTCCATGTTTCTCTCGGATAGTACAGCATTACATTGAACTAAAAATTTTTTTGCCGGTAGTGAACAGCGTTTGGATTGCCTACTTTTGTTTTGAAAAATATTGCAATGTTGGTTTGTGGCAAATTTTACAAAAAAATACGTATTTTCGGAAATACGTTCTGTGCTTTAATCTTTTCTTTAGCTGTATCGGACGTATTGAGATTGAGAAAGTGGAGTAATTTTAGCCTTTGTGATCAAGATATTTCCTAGAAAGCAGCATCTGGGAATTGGAAGCCTATAACAACTTTTGTTCTATTTATTGAGATGTATTTATCTTGAAAGTTTCAAATATCTCTGATGAGCTGTTCTTGAGAAACCTGTGAAAGTGAGAGAGGTTTCCTTAAGACCAAATATTTTCTTTTATTTTTAAACCAAATATAAGTGTAACAAATATTAGTACAGATAAACATTTTGATGTTTTTCAATTTGATCGTTCAATATGTCCTGATGATGGAAAAAAGAAATTAATGATGGATTAAAATCAGTGTCATCAGGAAATGCAACTGTAGCATTTGCTGGTCTTATTTTTGTTTATTACATCTTAATAGTAAATCAGAGATTTCTGCTTATTAATTGAAAAGTTGTTCTTGTTATTTTTTCATTAACAATTACTTATTCTTATCACTAATATGATATTTTAGTTTATGCAATTCTTGAAACAATATTTGCATGGGGATCATACCGTTGTCAATAAGCTAATATTTGGGATTATCGTGTTAATCACATACCTTTATCAAGAATAGAGCTGATCATGGTTTTGATTATCCTCTTGATCATTTAGAAAGTTCAATGGGCGACTCACGAAAAGGTGATTAGAATAATGGGCATATTTATAGAGTATCTTTTGATGCTACAATAATATTGTCGGGTTTACATACGAATAAAGGATCGAAAGCACAGTTTAAGTTGTAACAGAGAAGAAAATCATATGTTATATATTCAAAAGAAGTATGTTTGAAATATTATGGATTATTTTGAGATTTGTTTAGCACTTTACCAAACAAGAATTTTATAATCATATAGTTCCTGTTGTTTTTTTTTTTCATTTCAATTATCACTCTCAAGTATATTTGTTTAATGATTCAACTAGGATAAGTTTTAGACTTTAGATTTGATACTTCAAAGGATTTGTTTTTCATTTCTTCGCCAACATTAGACATAATGAATAGAATTCCTTTTTTTCTTCTATTAAATATTGTTCGCATCAGTTGATTCGTTGAAGTATAATGATAAACAGGACAAACTATTCAAAGAGTCGAATAAAAACTATATTTGTGAAAGTCAAACAAATGATTTTTTTACATTGCATGCGTATTTTTAATCATAGAAAGAGAGTCGGCATTACATACAGATGAAAAAAATAATGCGTGAAAAATTTATATTTTCCTTTTTACTTCTTTTTTTTATACTATAAAAAACTTTGAATGATGTTAAATATAAAATATTTTAAAGCATTATGTAAAAACCGGATGTGTCAGATAATTACGTATATATTTCATAAGAGCTATTGAATTTCTTCTTGACGAAATAGCATTATAAAAGAAATCATATGCAAGTAGGATAAAAATTTGAATTAATAGTTGATTTTCATTATTTCAATTTCATGATATCTGTCTATTTGAATTAAGGTATTAGATGAGCTATGTTAAATAGCAACAGTGACGTCAATGGCTTAGAGTTAATCAAAAGTAATTCTTGTATTGAACTATATATGGTTGAAATAAAATGACTCGGAAATAAAGTTCACGGATTCATTGAATAACTTTCCTCTTTCTATCGATCAAATATTAACATATGTTTCTACTATGAAAAAAAAAATTATTTTAACCATCTATATTCATATATTATTTGAAAAGATTTTCTAGACTATTATCCTTTTTTTTTAATTCATACCATCTCATATTGTCCATAGTTATTTAGATTCATGAATATTTTCAATTTATTAGTAGGTTTCTGAAGATATTTCTATAGACATGTTATCAATTTTATACTGACATCATAAATATGTAAAATTTAACAAGTAAATAGCTATGCCATTTTTATATAAGATGCCATGCCCCATCAATTGTAAATGATTTACATGAATCGTAAAAGATTTTTTTTGTCAAGAAAAAAATATAACCCTCATTCGTGAACTTGTTTTTTTCTATCTACAAAAAAAATCATTTGTTCTTGTGGGACAACAATAAATAAAGAGCAAAAGCTTATGTTTTTATTTTTGTTTTCTCCAACACAATTAGAACATTCCTTCCATTAAGATAACACTACTATTACCACATGAACGTCATATATTTTCTTTCTTCTTCTTCTTCTTTCTTTTTTATATCAACGCTTTAGTATTCCTTATTGGAATAGATCTATCTTTATCCGTTTTTTTTCCATTCTAACTATTGATTGATTAGTGAAAGACATCATCGTCATTTTTCTCGTCGTAGAAAAAAATTCTATGCATTCAATATTAAGTTGAAGAATGCTCGTTTTTTTCTCTATTCTGCAAGTATAGTAGTTCTCGCGATCTTATTTTTCTTTTCATACGTATAGGATTGCGAGAAGAAAATCAGTCATGCTGGTTGAACATTATACTATTGAGTAAAGGCGACGACGAAGACGACGACGACAACGAGACAAACGTTCAGTTTTTGCTCCAAATAGCAATAGAAGTAGTAGTAACGACAAGAAAACAAGAAAAAAAAAGCGATGGCGACTTTCTTCATTTCTCCTTCCGCCTTCAACTAATTGCGGATGCGTGATACGACAAAAGAGAGTAAGAGAGAGAACGTCAATACTAAGAACAAACACTGCCTTCTATCGTGAGCCACGTCGTCGACGTCGTCGTTTTAGTTGCATGTTGGGAACAAACGAGAAACGAAGGAAAAAAGGTTCATTTCTTTTTTTTTTCTCTTTTATCGACTGCCACTATTAGCAAAAAAATAGAGGGAAAAGAGAGAAAAAAAAGAGAATTTTAGTTGTTGCTGTTGTTATTGTGAACTACTCGTCAATACTACCATCATCTTTATCCTGTGTGTGTGTGCATCACACAGTAAGTAAGCTGAACTGAGGATCGCATAACATACATCTACAGCGCGTGTTGTAGTCGATTGACGACGGTGATCGTTAAACGGTAATGCAAATACAAGCAGGTAAAAGAAAACTATTGTATTATAGATAAAAGTTTCTCATTTTCATCATCAACTATGAAAAGAACCAAGAGAGTGCATAGTCTAATATTAATCTCTTTCTGTTTTTCTCTTTTCTCTTTGGCATTCCCAACGTTTTTTTTTATATTTCATCACACAAAAGTATTCAAGACATAATTATGTTCTAACTCATGCTACTTTATTTCCTTCATTATTCTTATATTATTAACTGTTTATTGAAATGAACACAAACATATACACATCGATATTTAATATTAATCTAAAGTGTTCTTTTTATTTATTTATTTATTTTTGTTTTGTTTTAGTGATTATTATCTTTTAATACTTAGAAAATAAATAAAACCAAATGGGTATTTTACGACATCGTCGTTTTCGACGTCAAGAACCTGTGCCAAATAATGATGACTATTATACAGATTATGATGATGGTGATGAAGGTGATGAAGAAAATACCTCATCATCAACTACTATTTCATCTGCAGCAGGTCTTCCACCAACAAGCACGGAAAATCAATTTGAAAAGGCTAAAGCAATCGGTAAAGATGTCATCGAAAAGGTTCCTAGTGAGTATTACATAAAAATATTATTTCTTTTTTGTTTTTTACAAAGAGAAAAGATAAAAGAATTTATTTATATGACTCTAGAATATTATTCAATTTCGATTAATAGCTTTATTTTTCTTACTGTCATTCTTGAAATTTGTCATATGTCAAAAAGAAAAATATAAAAGAAAAACACATATATGTCATTTTCGAAAAATTATTGAATAAATGTGTTTATATTCATGAATGTAGTACAGTATTCAACATTCGATGAAAGTCAACCTACCCATTTCTATACATGCATCTCATTCATAATGAAAAAGTTTTTTTTTTTCAAGTTCTTTTTCTCATTTGAGTGCCGTTCTCTTTTTTTTTTCGCAACACACATGAATTTAACTATTTGTATCGACAAACGAATAGAAACGAGATTCTGTATTGACTATTGAAAGCGACACATTATCATGCTACTCTTGACGTCAGAATGGTTGATATACATAAAAACGAGGCCAAAAAAAAAAAAAGCTGAGAAGAATTTTTTTCTCTTTTCGTTCTTTCTCTTACGACTTTATAACCAAGACGATAAACAGTGATTATAGATTATTGAAATATTGATGCTTAGATAAATATTTCTAATTTTTAAATGTAGACACACTAATGCGTATTTAAAAAAACATATTTTTAAATGAGAATACATACTCGAATGGAATTTAACAATAACGTATCAGACGAAAATAGATTATTGGCTTTACCAAATTCAAATAAAATCTTATCATTAAATAATCGACGTATGTATATGCATATATATGAATAGTGTTTAAAAAAAAAGAGACTTCAGAGAATACATGAATTCTCAAAAGATTTCGAAAACAAATCATCAATTAAGGATAATAAAATTTTTTATTTGATATTCTTTTCTAACAATTGCCCAAATAGCTCAGCCGGTAGAGCATCTCTCTCGTAAAGAGAAGGTCCATTGTTCGATTCAGTGTTTGGGCATTTAATTATTTTTATTTTTATTCTTATTTTTTCTTTTAGTGCCACCATGGGCCACAATAATAATTGTAATTATAATACTCCTCACATTAGCTATGTGTTTGGCTTGTTGTATACGTCGTACATGTCGGAAATTATGGAAAAAGAAAGGTGTCAAAGGTGGCAAAGGAATCGATTTACAAGCTGTCAAAACATTTGGTTTACACAAAGAAAAGGTACAACATAATAAAAATAATAAATCACACAGAAAATATACTTAATCAAAAATAATAAAATAAAACTAATTTATAATAGGTTCAACCTGATGTTGAAGAATTAACACCAAATATGGAAGACAATGAAGATGCTGACTCAAAAAAAAGTGAAGCACCTAATTTAGGAAAACTAGAATATTCACTTGATTATGACTTTCAAAAACAAGAAGTATATTTAAAAGAAAAAAACTTGTTCTTTTTTTTTATTTTAATTTCTTTGTTTTTTTCTAATAGCTTAAAGTTGAAGTTATACAAGCTCAAGAATTACCAGCTATGGATATGAGTGGAACATCTGATCCATATGTTAAAGTTTATGTATTGCCAGATAAAAAGAAAAAATTTGAAACAAAAGTTTATCGAAAAACATTAAATCCTGTTTTTAATGAAACATTTATATTTAAGGTTAAATTGATAAATGAAATTTTCTTTTGAGTAAAATAATTAAAACGTTTGTTTTGTTTTGTTTTTTTTTCTTATTGTGATAAAATAGAATTTGGCCTATGGTGAAATAGGTGGAAAAACATTGGTATTTGCTGTTTATGATTTTGATCGATTTTCAAGACATGATCAAATTGGTGAAGTACAAATTCCACTTAATACAGTCGATTTAGGAAAAGTTATAAGAGAAATTAAAGATTTAACGCCTCCGCCTGGAGAACGAGAAGCGGTATATTATTAATAATATCTTTTTTTTCTTTCTTTTGATCATTCTTTTTCTCATTGTCTAGGAAAATAAATTAGGTGACATTTGTTTTTCACTTCGGTATGTTCCAACAGCAGGTAAATTAACAATAACAATACTCGAAGCTAAGAATCTCAAAAAAATGGATGTCGGTGGTCTTTCTGGTATGTAACTGAATAACTAATTTATACAAAAAAATAAAAACAAAAAATAAAAAAAAATCTCATTTTGATGATTATTGTTTTTAGATCCATATGTTAAATTATCATTAATGATGAATGGTAAACGTTTGAAAAAAAAGAAAACATCAATTAAAAAATGTACATTAAATCCATATTATAATGAATCATTTACATTTGAAGTACCTTTTGAACAAATTCAGGTTAATTTATTTAATTATTAATTTAAACAAAGAATAACATTAAAATTATTCTTTTAGAAAGTGCAATTAGTAGTTACTGTAGTCGATTATGATCGTATTGGTACATCTGAACCTATTGGAAAAGTTGTTTTGGGTTGTAATGCAACTGGTACTGAACTACGTCATTGGTCCGATATGCTTGCATCACCACGACGGCCTATTGCTCAGTGGCATTCTCTTAAAGATCCTGAAGATGGCAAACCATCATAAATAATATTAGAAAAACGCAAAAAGAAAGAAAAAAAAATCATTCCTATTTTTTTCTTCTTGTCCTACATACAATTTTCATTGTTCTTACTGTGCAATATTAATTTGATTGCTGTTGTTCGTTGTTGGTGTTGTTTTTCGTCAAGACTGATTTATATTTAAAAGTATTTATTTATTTTTATCTTTATCTTTTTTTTTATATGTATTTTGTGATCGTTGTTCGTATCGAAGTTTTATTCCTGTGCCCATCAGACCGACACTTACACTCACACATACACACACATACACACCATTGTTATTGTTGTTTGTGCATGTACTCTTATGATCCTTTTTTTTTTCTTCTTTCTTTTTGTTTCAGTAGGGAACACTCTCTTTTTTTCCAACTTCCGGTTATTTAATGTCGGTGTAAATAAAAACACAAAATTCAAAAATTGATTACATTAGAATTATCTGAAGATTTCTTAAAAGAATTTTATTAGAAAAAAACAAAAAAGAAATGTTACATCAGACTTTGTTTTTAATTTAAATGTTTTCTTAAGAAGAATACACTTGCCTTTCGACTACCTTGTGATACGGGATGCTGTCTAACAGCAGATTAAATAGTCCAATATCTTCCCTACAACTAATATTAATCTTCCTTCTCTCACCGCATATTAGAAAACTTAAACTTTGTAAAAAAACAGTCAATTGTTTGAATTTGCTTAACATTTTGTTTTTCGTTAAAATATTGCTGAATCATATTTACTAGAAAATAAAAGTTATTAAAGAAAAGAAGAGAAAATAAAATGGGAATATATTTTCTTCGGTGGAAGAACATGGCTAATTGTTAACGAGAGGAAAATAGACAGAGCTGTAAATAGTGCGAAAAGGAAAAAGTAATTAATATTAATATTCATTTATATCAATAGTAATATAAATGTAATGAATATATAAAATATAGAAGAACAACATTGTGCACTCCTTTGTGATGATGAACATTCAAATTTTGATAATTGTAATAGTTCTAATGATGATTCAATTATTCAAAAAATTACTTCGACTATTCATGAATGTCAAAATGAACCAGAACGTTTTATTAATGTATTATTAATTAGAAACCGTAGAACATAATGAAAAAAAAAGAATAAGAACTCACATTTATTAAACATCATCAACAACAACAAAATAAAAACGTCTCAGTTTATAAAAACTGAAATTTAATAGTGGTTCTTTTTTGTTGTTTTTGGCTTTGTCTTTGAAACATAATCATCGTGAATTAAAATGAAGGATATTCAATTCTTTATAGGACAGGACTTCATATTACCAGATTCGGAGTGTTTTTATTGTGTACAGGAGGATTTAACTATAGATTTTGACAGAAAGTTAATCTAATGCAGAGTTCTTGAGCTTTCCATACATATTAACTAACTATGAGAGCGAGTATATGTCACAATGTGATCAGCATATTATCGAATGAGTGCTCTGAGACAAATAGTTATTAGTGACTTGTTCCGCGTCATTCCCTAGTTAATGACATTGAGTTTTGAAAAATTGTACTTTATGGATACGTGACGAACAACTCAGCTATGACGGTCTAAATATTTACTGCAAAAAGAACTTTTGTAGAGAATTATTAATTTTCGTTCTTGACAATTAAAATTGATCATGAGAAACGAATCCGAAACTATAATATCATTACATGTGACATTCTTTTATTATGTTTTGTATGAAGAAAACGGTTTTTTTCATCAGTTTACAATATAAAATAACTGATGTGAACGAATTTTCTTTCTTATAATAATTAAATAAACATAACAAGATTATAAAATACTTTAATTAGTTTATCTGTAATCTTGTGAAAAACTTGTTGTATGATTTAATTTTTATCAATTTAAACTGATCAAAAATAAAAGTACAATTTAATGTTGAAAAATATTAATATTACATTATATTTCAGATGATGTAGGTAATAGCTTGTAGAATTCTTAATTTATTTATGTTTATTTATTTATGTCAATTCATACTTATCGTATTTTGTTCTTTTCAATTAGTTCCATTGAGGTTAAAGTTGGTGTCGTTTTTGTTTCTTCATAAGTTATTTTTAAAAATTCTTAGACACTTATGTTATTGGGTGTAATATTACATTTTGTTATTAGAAAATACTCCATTAACGTCATATAAGCATTGTTAAGCATTAACATGGAATTATCATTTTAATATTAATATGAAAAAAAATCTATGTTTGCGTATATAATTAAGTTATGCATAGAAGAAGAATATCAAGTATATTAGACAAAAGAATAGGTTGGAAAGAAAATCAATGAATAGACAACATGAGATTTCAGGGAATAAAAAAAGGAAGAAATATTTCAAAGAAGAATACAAATTTTAATTTAGATTTGTGGAATTCATTAAAGAATGTTTCATAATTATATTTCTAATTAAGATCATGAATTCAATTAGATTTGACTCATATTTGCACGTTCATTTAAAAACTTAGCCAGTATACTGCGAATGTCAAAGTGAGATTATAATCCATGCTTGTTTTGCAAGTTGAACGCTAATTCATAAATAAACTGATTTGAATTCATAACAAAAATTATCATTGTAATATATTGATTAGATAATAAGATAATAATATTACTAAACAATTACCTATACTACTACGTACTTATGATTTCGTGACGAAATTAGTTTTTTAAGATAATGTCTATTTATATATGACCTACTTTATTAGCTTCATTATATGGATTTGTCTATCAATGAATGATTTCATATAAAAACAAAGAACTCTTTTCAGCTGTACCCAATGACTGTCAATGATCGTAACGAGAATAAAGGATTAACAATTCTTGTTGCTAGCTGTCAAAATCATAGTGTGAAATTTTACTGAGGTTATGTTGTCCTTGATTGCAAGAACCATTTTGTTCCTAGTTTTTCAACACAATAATAACTTCAGATGTAGAAGAATATCTGTCTTATGAAATTCAAAGATGTAAACTTTTATTTGAATATTGTTCGTGTTTTTATTTTCGTATAAATTATTTATTTCAGATGACGAAGTTTTGTGAAATGGATTCTAATTTTAACATATAAAAAGAATAAATCATCGGATAATTTTTTCAGAGTGTTTTTATTTTATTGTGCATATCAAATGCACTGTTTTTGTTGTGCTTGTTGTCATTATGTGTAATCGGTATTTTCTCTTCTTCGCCGTTATTACTATATTTTAAGTTCTTCTATTTTTTTTTGTGGAGTGTCCATTCTTTCTATGATTTACATGTATATGTCTTGTTATTGCTTAAACTTAAGCATAAAAAACTTTAATTATTATATATTCTATTACTTCCTACACTATTTAATAGGCTAATTATTCAATGTTTTTATTTGCATTTATTTTATCTATACTTATAAATTCAATCGTGTGTCTGTAGTAGTTATTTTCAAAACAAAATTAGGATTCGACAACTATGTTGCGTTTAATTATATTCATATGTATTTTACAATATTCCAGTAAGTCTTTTTTTTAATTTTTTTCTCGTTATATCGTTCATAACTTTAGTTTTGTTATTTCATTAGTTGGTGGAATTATTCGTGGTCGTGTTTTACTTGATGGGAATGAAAATAAAACGGTTCAAATACCAACTGGTAGTATTCTTACCATTTATTTTCAAGATACATCAATACCTGATATGCCAGCAAGAGATATAAAAGTTGTACAACTTTCAAATCTAGTCGATTTTCCAATTAATTATCAAATGGAAATATCGAATGACCTTCCACCAATATTCTCATATTCATTATCAGCTCGAATAACAAATGGAAACACTCTTTTATTTATCACTACCCAACGTACAAGTGTACCAATACAAAATCCTAGTCCGATTACGATTGACATTCCAGTTACAAATGTTAATCAAGGTTTGAATTCTTTTATATTAATAAATTGAAAATATTGAAAAAAGAGGCAAGACAAAGAATTGTCATTTCAGGTTTACAAAATATTCCTGCACCACTTCCATTTAAGAATATAGGACAATATTCTTGGCCAGAAATGCTTGGAAAAGAAGGTACATATGCCGTAAAATATATCAAAGAGAAGAGCGGTTAGTAGATTTTTATTATCAATAAATATCATATATTAAAAATTAATTTATAGGTCTTACTAATGTATTTACTGTTCTTGAAAACTCTCCCATTACGACGGATTTCCAACCTGATCGTGTTCGTGTATTTGTCAATGGAAATGGCATCGTAATTCGAATACCTTACATTCTATAAATTGACAATTTTTATCGTTTTCTTTTATTATGAAAACATAATCGAGGAAAAAAATTAAAAATATAATCATAATCTATCATACCAATAAAAGAATATATCCGATATGAATCTTCTTTAAAAAGAAACTCATGCGTCTTTTTTGATGATATTTTAAATATCAACTTTTTTCTGATTGTTATTTTACAGAATGTTTGTTACAAACCAGAAATTTCGCAAAACAAATATTACATGCATAAATTCTGATCTCAAAAAGAAAAAAATATCCGAAAAGAAAATAATTTATCACATAATTTAGAATTATTAAATCGTATTACTGCAAAAAAGATTGAAACTGTTTTTAGTTTACAGTATTGTTAATAAATGCAATAATACATCATAAATATTCTATACAAGTATTTTTTGGTGCCCCAGTTTGCACATTTATTCGCACTACTGGCCTATTCCATGGGGTTTCTCCCAAAAAAAAACACAACTATGTTCAAATCGATCGATTATGCCTCTATCTTGTAGAACATAATGACTTGTTGTTATGGTAAAAAAAAATTAGCTTAAACAGACGTTCCTTCAGAANATACGATGTTATACGGTTGTCGTAAACGACCGGTGAATACGACCATCGTAAACGGCGTTCGTATACGTTCGTATTTTTCTCGTGTTTAAAGTTAAGTAGTTTTCTTTCTATAAAATAATTTGTTTATGTTTATATCCGTTACAGTTGCACAATCAACAGTAAGTATGTTTTGTTATATGAAACAATTTTTTTTTATATTTAGATGCATCTCGATGACGCAACGATCAGTAAGTATTATTTTAAATTAAATTTTTTTTCTTATTATTTAAATCTATATGAACGGCAAAACGAACAGTAAATATTAATTTACTTAAATAAATTTTATTTTTTATGTTTCGATTATTCCAAACGGTAAATCGAACAGTAAGTATTAATTTATGTAAATTAATTTTTGTTTTTATTTTTAGATTATTCCGAAAGATAAACCGAACAGTAAGTAAGAATTTATTTGAATAATTTTTATTTTTAGATTTTTCACAACCATAAATCGAAAAGTAAGTATTAGTTTATTTGAATAAATTTTATTTTTTACTTTTAGATTTTTCACAATGTCAAATCAAAAACTAAGTATTATTTTATGTAAACAAATCTTTTTTTTAATGTTTAGATTATTTATATGGATAAATCGAAGGGTAAGTATGAACTTAATTAAATGGGGGTGTCCAGCTAGACTGGGCTCCCCCCAAATATTAGTTTTGTATTATTTGGAGAGTGGGGGGGCAGGTACGAAAAGCTTATGCGAAATACGATGATAAACAACGTTGTATACGACCATCTACGATCGTTTACAGTGATCGTATACACGTCGTATACGACACGACGATATACGGTCGTAATTCTGGCGTCAAGTAATACGGCGCAATACGGTCGTATACGATCGTAATGTACACCGTATACGACCGCACACGATCGCATACGACGTCGTACACGATCGTTTACGACTGTCGTAATGCTCGTCCTGGGAACTTCTGAATTGACAAAATAATTTTTAAAAAATAGACCTATTCTAATATAATATAAGCCTTATGTAAGTTCTATGAGCTTATCGATTGATACTATGATATTTCGCTCAAATATTATTCTCTTTCTTAGGCTTACTAAATGAAGTATAAACATAAAAAAAACTCACTTTTTGTTCTCGTGGTATAAACAATTTTTTAGTTGAATGCTTTTCAACGAATTATTCAAACTCGAACGGGTGCACTTCGCTGACATGATTCCATATTACATTTTGTAATTCAATTGATAATGAATCATCATCATCATTCATCTGAAACGTTGTTTCACATGACTGTATAGGACATTTGATCATGCCATGTTCATCTAATAGATAGATACACAATCATAAAATTATATTAAAAATAAATGTTTATGTGAGCATGCATCAAATCGGAAATATTTAAATATCTCTATGTTAAATGTTCGGGACATTTTTTTTATCTAATACAGAAAAAAATTCTTATTTGAATATTAACCAAAAATAATTCGATGGATAAAAACAAAAAAATAATTTGTAAGTGTTGGGTATTTCTTGTGGTCAAATTAGTAGACTAAAATTGAGAAATTATGGAAAATTTATCATTTATCCTATAAATATTTATTCTCTCTGTCGGATAGAAAATCTTGTATCACAGACATACAGTGAACGGCTAAAAGGTCACATTAATGTTCGTAATTTATCACATTTTTTGTTTTTCGTTCAATAAATTTTCATTAGCTTTCTCGACACATGTTTATATATATTCTTATCCGTTTAATTGTTCTTATCATATTCAACAAATGGTTTTATTTTTCGTTATTCTCGATTATGAAGTCTTTCCTTCACTACCCATAAAACATATTACTGCATACATATATAGTCACGTGTATGCCCATTCATTTTCTATATACGAAATCAATTTAGTCCATAGACATATTCGCTATTATGAATATTACACAAATCTTTTTTTATTTTTATAAATCGAAATATTGATCAGGATCTTCTTATATATATATGAATAAATTCTTTCTTAAAACATGAACCCTTTGAAAAGTATAGAATGAATCATAGAATTATTTCATAAAGTAGATGAAGAATGACAATAAAACTCTGCCTTGATTGAATAAAAATACTACATCAATATAAGAAAATTTTCATTTTGAATCAAATTATATCTAGATATATATAGCTTGATAAGTAAGAAAACTAGCAATTATTAAGTGTTTATCATAGCATTTTCTATTAAAAATAATCAAACAAAATTTCCATGCAATCAATAAAACAGATAGACAAAGAAAAAATTCATAAGTGTTAGATTGCATTTGAAGTTAGCCACCGCGTATTTTACGTATTTCATCATTATCATCTTATAGTTTTTTTGTTACTGAGTTAATATTTGATAACTAGTACCTTTTTTTTCATTGATATACATTCATCTTATTTTCATATGAATGATATATTTAACAAAAAGATTCGAAGTTGAATTTGTTTTAATATGTTCAGATTTGTAGTTTAAAAAACGTATTACCATATCTATTATTTATGTTTTGTTTGTTAGGATAAATTCATTCAATTATATGTATTGAAAAATACCAATAAAAAAGATTTATTTCTTCAGAAAAGATTATGATTATTACATGGAAATAAAAAGAACGAGTGGAAGAAATATGTAAACAATTTTTACGTATAAAACAGTATTTACGAAAGACATACAATTGTAAAATTAACTGATATAATAGTCGTTGAAGGCTTCTTAGAACAGATGAATACATAAGTGAACAAAATTGTAAATGATCAATCTTTTCAAGATAATACAATTAGTTCTTTTTTTAAAGAGTTTGGTAAAATATATGATATTGCGTAAATAGTTCATATAGTATGTGACTTTCTATGATTAGAATTTATCTATCTTAATTGAAAACAGTAATTAGTTGCGTTCAGATATTTCTATTCAAAAACTCGCTATGTAAGAAAGAAAAGTAAGTTCATACAACTTTTAATGTTTATAGTAATTATCAGACTTCATTCGCCAAGAATTATCGTTAGATGATTTTTAATAACAATATACTACCCTTAGAATATCATAGTATTTTCTTGTACAAACAATAGACAAATTGATATCTTTAAAAATTAAAACAAAAACTTTGTTTTTCTTCTTAGAGTGCATTGATTGATCGAAGAATTAATTCATTTTGAAAATTTATTTTGTGTTTTTAATAAATGAAATAATATCAATAAATACTAGACTATTTAATTTATAAATATCTTGTATTTTATTAATTATTTCTTCCGTTAATTGAGAGAGATTTGACTCTTTTGAAGATATTTTAGATAAATATGTGTGACACAATTCTAGGTTCTCAAGTTAAAATAAAAACTTCTATTGAATGATGAGGAAATATCCTTTTTGTGTACTCAAAAAGTGAGTACACTCTAGAATCGGTCAGTGTGTCCGTCCAGCCGTTAACATGATAACTTTTGAAAGGAGAGTCCAATCGCGATGAAATTTTCTACACAGCTCAGTCTTAACAATGTCTCGGTCGAGTTCGAAGATGAGAAGAATTGGCCGAACCATTCCTGAGTTATTTCAAAAATACTCATTTTTTCCTATGGCTTCCTATGCGAGAATCGACCCATCCCCACTTTCCTAAAAAGCTTTTCCGATCATACTCAAACAAAACCCCAACTATTATATACCATTCGATAAGGAATTTTACGAGCTACAAAATGGTATATAAAACATAAAGAAATAAGAAGGCTAGCTCACCTATTGCAAAGATAGATAAAAGGAAATCGGTTCTGTTCTTGTCCATGCTCTAACTGATCCACAATTAGAGCACTATCTTCCGATAAGAGGTGATGCTTGAAGGTTTTCTGGGGTGGAGAACTCGAATCTGTACTCCATTTGTTTCGATGCCCTATTGATTGAGCACTGACCAATTGAAATCAAGTTATAGAAAGAACGAATTTCTGATGGTAAATTAAGGCGAAGGGTTCAAATCTGAGCTGTATTCGCCCACAAATCCTATTGGTTGAACAGTAGTCAATAGAATTCAATTGTGTATAGAAAAGGTTTGCCCAGCTAATCTGTATATCCACGCATTCTAGGATGACTGATTTGTCTCATTCACTTTTTGAAGTACACATAACTCTCGGACTTAAGTCCGAGGTTTCCACATTTACTTTTTGATTGCCTATGAAAAGATATTGGACATACTATGAGAGAAATAAATGTATAGCAAAATAATATGAATTATTACTATTTTTTTCTTGTTTTTTTTATTTATGTCTTAGCTTTTCGATAGAATTAAAATTATAATGTTCAATCAAATGGAACTCTATCTTTAGTGGGCTAGACACTCATACGAGAACATCCGTTCTAACGTGTACGTTAACATTGACGGGTCAGATCCGGCTTCCTTTCCTGTTTGGGAACTCCTCCGTCTTTCCGGCATTCTAGAAGAATAGCTCATTAGAAAATGTTGAAACTTTCAGCTTGAATAGATTTTGATAAGTAGAGAAAAAGTTGTCGCAGAGTCAAAGTTCTCAAATAATTTCTTCAAGGAGATATTGGGGTCGCACGTACAGGCTAAAAGTCATTTGCTTCCTCAACTGCGATTAGTCTGATTGAGCTGAGATTTTTTTTATCGATACGAGACAAAGTTTCAGGTGCTTGCTTTCATTTTATCTTCTTCTATTCGAATAAAAAGATCAAAATATTGAGCACATCTCTAAAACTGCATTTTTTGTTTAACTGGAGCTTTTTTTGTAAACTCTGATAAAAACGAGCTCTAAATTACATTTTGAAAAAAAAAGAATTAAATATTCCTAACATTTTCTAATATAATTATAAGAAAGTTTCTGCTCGATTGAATATACTATGACTGAGAAACAATGATAATTCTCAATTTTCTTTGTCAAAAACAACAAAATAATGTGTGAATTTTGATGTTTTCTCGGTACAAATGTTTGATGTTTTCCAGTTTTTTGACTGTTATAATTATATATTAATTCTTAAAATATATCAAGTAGATACAGAATACTCGGAAGCATATATGAAACAAAAAAAAAAAGTGAAAGTTTAAAAATTTTTAGTCAGCACAGAAGGCATCACCTTAAGCTACTGTAAGATCCACTGAAGTTTTACTCTCATGAATCGGTTAAAACATGCTACAGTGATCTATTTGAGAGCTGAGATGAAAAGTACCATTGCATTGTAAAATGTGAAGGAAAAAAATGATTAGGCTATTTTTATAATCAAGTGATCGAATATTTTGAATTAATATCTTTAATCAATAGTTTAGTACTGTTTTCAATAGAAAAAAAAAACTCAACATAGTTATAGTATCGCTTTTCTATCATAGGCATTGTTTTCAAAACATTGATACGAAAACCAAATTCGACCAATTGTAAATGTTATCGTGTTCGTTTTGTTAATGGTGTAGAAGTAATAGCTCATATTCCTGGTGAAGGACATAACTTACAAGAACATCACAGGATATTAATACGGGGAGGACAAACGAAAGATTTCCCGGGTGTACATTATGAAGTTGTACGTGGTAAATTAGATTGTTATTTGCCTGTTAAGCGACAAAGAACATTACTGAAAAATACTACTGCAAAATAATGATTATTTTTGTTTTTGTTTATTTAATTTGCGTCTTTTGTTTTTTTTAATATTTTGCTCATTAAAAAGCAAAAAAAGAAAGAAAAAGTTTTATGATTTTACAATTTTAATTGGATGATTTTTAAGTCCTTTTAAACATTCATGTTGTAAACGATACCGTTCAATTTCTTTTTCAATTCGTTTGGTATCAAGACCAAAAAATTGAGCAAATTGTTTAAAATAATTTAATGCTTCTCGTTGTTCCAACCAAGTGGAATAATCGTCAATAAAGCAATATGATGATGCTAGCTGTTGATAAATTGGCGATAAATGGTTGTCAGCATTGATTTGATTATTAAGAACTATTAGTAGAAGTAAATATAATGGAAATAGATACATTTTAAATAGAATTTCTTTTTCTAAAACAAAAAAAAAAAGAAAAACTGAACTTGATTTACTAATCATAAGATTGCGTCAATGCAACAAAATATGGATAGCGTTTTATTATTACTGCAATGTCTATTTTATTGCGATTAACAATGAAAAACTGGAGAGCATCCTTAGTATAAGATGCTCATTAGATTATTCTATCACGCCAACTGCGCTTTTATTCTACTTTACACGCTCTTATATAGTAGTTACAAAAGGCCACTCGGTCAGACAAGGAGACCTACAAAATCTACTTGTGTGAGCCGATGCATGTTGGAGGAAATGTTTCAAATTTGGAGAAATTATTTAGCTGTAGGAAAATTTTTTCATTCGGGAATTCCAATTAAGAAATGTTTTATTTATGTAGCAACAAGAACAAAAGTTTCGTACGCAGGTTCTTTGATTTATTTATTCATAAAAAGTATTGAAACAGCTTGTTTTTTTATTTAACTATACCTATATATATTAAATAAAACGATTTTTCTTTTGCTGTCTTCGAATGTACAAGTGAAAAAGTGAATCCGACCGTTTCCTTACTTTGAAAGCGGAGGAAATTTTTCAATTTAGAGGCAGATTCTGTGTTTCTGCAAACACGATACAAAACTCAAGCCACAGTTAATAGTTTACAGAGAGAAAAGAAGAGAGAAAATATGTAGGAGAAAGACAATTATTATCAATAATCGCCACAGTAAATGTCCTATAGATATACATGAATTGAAATAAAATATATGTTATACAGAGCCACAATAGAACTTAACTCATAATAAATTTGAAGTTCGGTGGTTAATATTTATCGTAGAACGTCATCCTTATATACATGGTAAAAGTGACTGTGTTGAACGATGAAGGAATATTCATAGGTTATATTCATATGATAAGTTTGAAGAAAAAACAGTCAAAACAAAGAAAATTACTGTGAAAAATGTTCTATTTACATCTGTGTGGTAAATAGTTATGGTTTTTTCATAACTTATTCAAGACTAAAATACTCTATAAAGAGTAAAGATGAGATTTGAATGAAGATCTGAAAGGAATAGGAAATATAAACACAGGTTTATCAGAGGGTGTATTTTACTCAGTTATAGCGAAGATGTTCAATTGTCGTGTTCTCGATAGAGTGAACTTATTTTTAGGTTGAATAGTAATACAAAGAAGAATTTTTGGTTGAGAAGATATATTAGAAATACATTTTAATATTCGAAATGATTCTTTATAAGATAAAAATATCGTATAGAATGAATCAAATGATTTTATCCTATTTAGAATACTATATTATATTAATTGAAAATACATCTCTGTTTAATTATAAGCACAATTAGAATTAAAGTCTTCTACAAGCACCAGCAGTACTCTGCTAATTATCACAATACGGATACATCTCTTAGTGGTTTTTATTGTTTGATACGGCATTTTATTTCTAAATCTAAGACAGTTTGTATTAAGCGTTTCTTACTCACTTGTATATTTCTAAATATATATCACTCTTAAATATTCAAATTCTACTATAAAAAAAAAGAAAAGCAAATAGAGATTACGTTTTGTATGAAACATAGATGAATGTTGTTTTCTTTTCTAGATAGTATCGAATTCTTATCGTCGCTTTAAAAGAACGAACAGTGTCACTTATGAATCAGCGTTTAATAAAAAATCTTTGAGCGGAAGAAATAAGTAGGATGGATAGTGCACTTTCAAAAATTACATACAACGGCCTTCATTATCTGTCATTATGGCTAAGAATATACAGTAAGGTGCAAAAAAGAAATGCCGTTTGACACGCGAACTTCGTCAATGTCTGTTTCTTAAATTTCTAGAACGATTGCTTTAGAACTATTTGCAAACAATAGAAGGTAGTTCTATGCATTAAGTAAGATTGGTGTGTCCTCAAAAGTGTTATTAAGTTTCATAAAAAAGGACGTAGTATTGAAATACCGTCTGTTAACGGATCGTTCAATCATCTTACACTACTGGAGTGATAATTATTATAGTGCTTTCCAAAACTGTTCATGTAAATAATACCTCTGTGCGTACTATCGAATATGCGACTTTTGAGCAGCATCTTCAAGAAACAATCATCTGAAAATTTAGTGACTTGAACTTCAGATTAGTTGAAAAGCTGTGATTGATGATAGAGCAACTTATCTATACAGGAAAACTCAAATTTTGATCAATTGAAGAGATTTCTAAACAAAGAATGATATAGAATGGCTAAGTAAAATGTAAGTTTTTTGATAGTTTGCACGAAAGCTGAGTTTTTCCCTCTTATTGCATCAAAGAGAGAACAACTCTTTTGTTAATAGCTGTAGTTGTAGACTATATTGCAGGTGAAATCTATCAATTAAAACAGTTTCAATATTCATCATGTTCAGCAGGAGAAATTTTTTAAAATATCTAGCGATAGTCTTTGTATACTATTGTACATCAATCTTGAACTCTTTTGAATTATTATAGATATTGATTAATCTTCTGTTTATATCTTTATATGATAATCTTCATTGAATGAACTAAAGGAATTTTTTCTCTATCACAGTGTAAAAAGAATATGACAAAAAACAAATCAATTCATCATGCCCAGTGTAAACTTTGCCACTACTCTATATTTGTAACGGAGATGGCTAATGTGTATACTATTTTGTATATTAATGATGTGCCGAAAATAATCAATATCATAGCGTTCTGAAGTTTTTTCTGTGAGTCTCACTAGAACATATAAAGCACAAACATTCATACAAAAAAGAATAATCTCTTGAGACTATTTCTCCTTCATTAAAAAAGAAATATGAAAGTAGATAAATGAGTTTTAACGCATAGAAATATCAAATTAATTGATATCATGACACCTAGTCTTTTCAGATTCGTTTTTTCCTTCATCAATCGATCAATATTCTTTTTTATTTTAATGTTCAGACAAAATTCTTTTTGAAAGGTAAAAAAAACTTTCTGGCTATTCTTTAAAGAGAAATGTTACGTGATCTCTATTGACACATGTATAATTACTCTCAAAATTATTCAATCAGATTCATTTTTAATCTTTTTCTACTACTGTAAATGCTGATTAGAATTTTCGAAGATGATGGTGATTGCTAGTTTTCTAAGTATATAGTCTTTGAAAAATCAAAAAATCAAATTTTTCAGTTCCTAGAATTACGCAGAATGGTAGAAGAAATGATTTTCTAGAAAATGAAATGTCTTTCAGTTCTCTACGATGTTTTTTGATTGAGGTACATCAATGATACGGAAGAAACACAAATCGTTTTCTGTTAGTTCGAATAAAAACATTATTTTTTGTGTCTTATGTGTGATTGATATATCTTGGCCATTGAAGCCTCAGAATTTGAAAACTTGGTTTAGGACTTTTCAGAGACTCTATCCTTTGAAATCTAACAATCATTTTCATCTTCGAAAATTCTTGTTGGAATTTAAAACATTTTCTACTTTACAGAAATCATTATATATATGTCGGTACATCGTTTTGTATGTTACTATCAGATAAGCACACATATTCGATAGGTAAAAAAAATATATCTGCTAATTCATCAATGAGTCAAACAGTAGTTCATTTTAGAAAGCTTCGAAAAACGACAAACATCAATGACAGATAAATCATTCTTGATTCCATTTGATTACCATGGTGAAAAAAAGTAATAATAAAAATTATGCATTGTCAACAGATTATTTTTATTATTTGTCTCGTCATTTTTCCACTTGATGATTACGTTCAATTTATAGCATGTCTATTAAAATTGTTTTTGTTTTTCTTCCTTCTGTCATTTTTAATGTTCTCCATTTCATCTTTGTTTTTTGTATTTCATTTGCAATTGTATGAAATTGTATGCACTTATATTGTAGCTTTTTTTTCTTTGTTTGTTTTGTACATTTTGTTAAAAACTTGAAATGAAAAATTAAACAGCAACCCAAGTAAGTAGTGTTGTCGATGTATAGCAGAAGCTACATATAAGTTATAAACATTAGGCAAGTACTTCAGCATTTTGTCTTGAGACACAGTTCTTATGTCATCAGCTGAGATGCGATTCATATGAATCTTACTAGAAAGTCAAGATATGTTATTCAGGAAACAATCTTGTATTAAAATATATATCTAAGAAAAATCTTAACTAACAGTTAAAAATAAAAGTATAGAAAGAAAAATATTGAATATATGTGATCTCCTACGTTAGTTGGAAAAAAATATTTAATATATTCATTGTTAAAATAATTTTTAATGACTTACCTCGATTTAAGACACAACGAATAATTTATGATTTATTAATCGATATGATGGGAAAAGTAGTTACTATAACACAACGATAAGACTTAAATTTCGTTAAACGACAAGAACAAAATATGAACGTGCAAAAAATGTAGAGAGAATTATTATTGTTCATTTTAAGATTTACAAATCTTGCTAAAGAAAATTACAAGAAAAAACTTTGTTCTGTAATCAAATAAACTTAGTAACTTTTTTAGTTTGAATTGCAAGTAATTATATGAACTTTTTACAATAATAATTTTGATGGACATCAGAAGATTCCATACTTCGACAAAATTATTGGTTCGTTAAATTTTAGTCTCTGACATATGTCAGATGTTCTTGATTTTCTTTACAAATTTTATAATACACAATTATAAAGGAGATAATTATACGTTTATTTGTTTTGATATGATTAAATATTGAAATATAAAAGCTCACGAAATGCTTGAGAATATAATTAATGAAGGACATAAATGAACCAAGACATAAAGAAAGATTATAACTTTGCAAAAGTGCAATGGCAGATGTTTTATTATCGACGTCATTCGAGAGTATTATTCAGATGAGAAAAAAATAAATTGACAATAAAGATGTAGACGGCGTTACAACGCACAGTCTTCCTATGCAATAAAATGATTTGAAGATTTCAAGTGCTTCATACTTCACTATTTTATTTCAATAGTTTTATTATCGTCGTCAATTCATTTACAATAAGTTGATTAAAAAAGGATGTGTTCGAAGAGTAATATTTGATTATTTTTTTTTAGTCAAATAATTCAAAATATAAACATTAAAATTTGTCATTTAATGATGTGTATAGATAGCATATTTACTTTGATCTTAGCTATTTATTTGAATCAATCAAACGAACAGATTCCTCTGTAGTCATCATTTATCATTATTGATAAGAGAAAAAAAATAGGTGTACTGTGTTTTCTTCTTTTCCTACATTTTTTTCATCTAAGCACATATTTGCATTTATTTAATACAAAGAAGACAAATCGAAAATTGTTATGGACTCCTAGCATTACTTTTTTCTCTCCTTCTCACATACCATTATTCGCCCCCGCCACTTTCAAAGATCATGATGAATGAATCAGTCAATACTGTCAGCTTATATTATTCTTTCCCTTTCCTTTCCTATCAAACGAGCAACTGGATGAGAAGAGAAAAATCGAATAAAGCTTCTTTTCGCTTGACGACTGTGATTCATTGATTCACATTTATATATCGAAAATTAGTAACACACTGTGACATTTTTTCAGCATGAATTTATTTAGTCGCAAAACCATCGTACCACCTTCATCACCATCAGTATCAAGTACTGCTAGATATGGTCCTGAAGCGTTCGCATCTAATTCTGCATATGGACGAGGATTTTTTGAACTTGGTGCTTATTCAGTTGCTTTAAAACGATGTGAAAGTGGCCATGATCTAGCTCAACAACTTGCAGATATGTTTGAAGAACGAGCACAACTCGAATTAACTTATGCAAATCAATTACGTGCTTGGTCACATAGATGGCATAAAGAATTAACAAGATCACAAGAATATGGAACAAATAAAATAGTTTGGGATCAAACTGCAAAGACAGGTATATTTTTTTCATTTTTAAAAATTTAATTTTTTTTATCAGATGATTAAAACAGGTGAACCAATGGCTGATGTTCATTCAACATTATCAGCATCATTGAGTGAATCATTAATTCCAAAACTTCGGCAATGGCGTAAAGATCGTTATGAAAAATCTTTACTGCAATATAAAAAGACGAAAGAATTTGAAAAAGAATTTCTTGATGCTCAAAAATCTTGGAGTAAATTATTAGATAGAATATCAGAATGTAAATCAGCTTATTATTCTGCATGTAAAACAGCTAAATTAGCTGATGATGCTGAACATACAGCACCTGCTGATCAACGAAAAAAATATGCTGATAAAGCTGAAGTAGCAAGACGTGAAATTGGTTTTACAAAAACTAAATATCAGCAAGCTGTTAATGAAGTTAAAGAACAAAGACCACGTTATGAATCAGCAATGAAAGAAGTTTTTGAACGTACACAAGCATTTGAAAAAGAACGATTGGAGTTTTTTAAAGAAACATATGATGAATATTCAAAATTATTAGAAACAGCAACATTAGATAAGTAAGTTCATTATTTTATAAATTTTGGTTTTTGTTCAACTGTAAGTTTTCTTTTTGTTTTTTTCTTTGAAAGTCCGATTTTGAAAAAGATGAACGATGATTATAAAGCTTCTTTATCCACACATAATCCTCAACAAGATTTAGCATGGTGGGATCAAAATTATGGTATGTTATTGATTGTTACTTTACATAAGATTTCTTTGTTTTATTTTTGTATCATATAGGTACTCAAACAAATAGTCGATGGCCTGAATATGAAGAATATCGAGATTAAATTATTACTTCTGCAATTTATTCATGATAACTTAATACTTTCACTTTGATAATATAGTTCACTGTATTGTTTTTTATTTTGTGCACAGAAATAAAATGTTGAAAGTTAACAGAGTTAACTCTTATTTTCTATTTTTCTTTATTGTTTGAAAACAAAAAAATATGCTCAATCAAGCAAATTAACTTTTTCTATATGATTAAGTATGACAACTTTGAATAGTTATAACACTGCCAAATAATTCATGATAAATAAATAGGAAAAAAGGTAGTACGATAGTATTATGATGATTAATGCATCTTCAGTCTACTTGAGTTTCTTATTGCATTGAATTATTGATCAGATATGTTTTGAACTTGTTCCTCTTTCATTACAATCTCTAAGAAATATAACGGAACACTAAGTTTGATACGCACTATATCAAGAACATTTATTATTCGAATCAGATATTATTCAGCATATGTTTGTTTGTTTGACTGCTATATGATTTTGATTATATCCTTTTCCCTACGTACTCATTCTCACACAACTCTATCGTTAGACCTAATGTGTAAAGGATTCAAAGAGTCACGAAGATTTTCATCTTGAAACACTGTAGTTTATTAGATTCCTTGGCAAAATGTCGATTTTCAGATAATTGACGATTAACATTTCATAAAAGTATGTAAGAATGATGTATGTTCTTCATACTTTGCTACTCACTACTAATAGATAATGTTCGTTTTTTTGTTTCGTTTTCGTAGAGATAGTGAATTCAGCTGTTCTTATTCTGCCAAAATAAATTTTTTCTATGTTTCATTGATAACTCAACTTGCATACAATAACGAGTTTGAGATGGTAATAAGGGAGCTGAGATGCAGGAATAAGGGGCTACAACACCAATGATGGACTAGACATAGAATTATTCAACAGTAATAGGGTAAGCATCTTGGATGGACTGCTTTTCACCAGAGGAGAATCTTTTTTGGAAAAGCAAAAAAGAAAGATCGAGATAAAATAATATTTTTCTAGAACCTTGCAAGGGTCAGAAAAATGGCACCTGAATCTAGAATCCGGAAAAGTTCAGTATGACAACTTGTTTTACGGAGTATTCCCACATCATGTGCTTCGCTAGACGAAAGAGTTCTCACCAGCATAAAAAGATCCAGTCATCTTATCTCTTGATAACTGAGAGACGCTGAAAACAATCAAAACGCGAGTAGTCAGTAAAGCTAGGTGGCAACAATAATCGATTGGTTTCAAACTAACCACTAGTATACTATTGAACTTACTATACGACCTGTGTAGTACAATGCACTTCCTCGTTGTTCTCGGCACCTTTCCGTATTTCACGAACGAACTGATTCGCTTCTTTCCAATGACTACAACTGAATTCATAATATTTCGCAATCAACATTTAAGCTAAACACTAGTACCTTTTTACAAACAGGTATCTCTACTTGAAAAAACTTAAGTTATCAATAAATCTTTCCATAAGCTTTCGAAAAAACTCAATGGCATGACCATTGTATTCTACTAACATCAATGATGATGAACTAGCAAACGACAAGTCATAATTCGTAAACTGCATAATTACCAAAGAATGCTACAAAGATGTCAACGATCTAATTCGATAAACAAATAATTTTCAAATCAGCCAAACATATAATAGGACTAAATATTACCAATGACAGCCACTACTTCTACAAAATGCTACAAGTTTCACCAGAATACCTAAAACCAGACAGGGTCGCCATCTTTGCTTCGAACCAGGGAAACATCAGAAAGATGTGTTTTATTTTGCATGATCGTTTCATTGCTTCAATGGATAGCTTTTTTTGAGTGAACTCGTCATTTCTTTTGTCTCTCGCATATCGAGCTGGAAGAGTGTATTGTTCTTTAGTACGGTTCGACTTTCTGTTCCTGAGGCGTTTTTAGTTTTTGTATGAGTTGGTTAGTCGTGTGCAAATAGATATTGTACTTCTTGGAGTTTTCAGGATATTAAGAAGAAGATGGTTGATTTGAAGAGTGCTATGTCAAGAAGTTATTGAAGGCTATGAAGCAGTTTGAAGAGTTGAAATGGATATTGGGTTTGTTGCGTTTTTTTATTGTTAATCGAGATCGTAAAAAAGAATGTTTTTTCGTATCTGATACTCGCTTAAGTTTTTTCATGTCGTATAGTGGATTACTAGTGAAGCTTGCAAAGGCCTGCTTAAATTTTACTGTTGGGTGCATTTTGATTGGCTGGGAGTAAAATATTAATTTGTACTTAAGGAAATTGTACTTCTCAGGGATGATGATTCCGTTCGAACGAAGATGAACTGTATATAAAGGAGGGTATATTGTTCTTGTGTAGTGTACACAGCCTGAGAGTTCTCATGCTTTCGTTGACGCTTTCGTTTTCGCAATAGTATCAGTGTAAGTAAGGTTGTGAGTGTGGGTGCGAGTTCAATAAAGACCTGGTACGCACACGCTCGAATGCCTATTTTTTGTCACAAATTCTAGTGTCTTGAACCAATCACTAAAAAATTCCTCATTTGTGACGAAATAAAAAACTTTGTCAATGATGATGATATAAAAGGGACTTTAATTTAGGTATTTTTGAAATTAAGATAAATGTACAAGAACAGCAACTAGTGACCAGATTATGATAAAGAACTGGAGCTGACCATAAATTCTTTTTGAAAAAATTATACTCATCACCAGTTGTTCTTAAAGGAACTGGAACTGGTCACCAGTTCTGCTAAAATGGACGAGTTGTATCAAAAGATTTCATCTGATAATGAGATTTTATAATTTTTTCAGAGCTCAGAACGAAAGAGCTGGTCACCAGTTCCCGTTACTTTAACATAATCTAGTCACCAGATTCAGTTCTTTCAAAAAGAACTGGTGTTCAGTTCCAGTTCTTAATCATAATCTGGCCACTAGTTGCTGCTCTTGTACATTTATCTTAGTTTCGCTTTTAGGTCATCATCATTGACTAACGAGGGAACCTTCCGAGATGTAACCTCCCATTTTGATTCATTTATATCTTATTTGAGTGAACATATTGAGATAGTAAAGACCCCAAAAAGGATTTCGGTTCCTTCTGCTGCTATTAAGAGTTATAATCGTTTTACTGAATTTTCAATCCATTCCTAGGTATTTACTGTAAAAAAATAAAATTAGGGAATTTCGACCTGAAACTTTGCCTACAAATAGGCCCAATGATTCTTCAAATATTCTGAAATTTTCAGCCAAAAAGAATGTTCGTTTCTCGAGATATTAATTTTTCGAGTGGACTCAGTTTTTGTGACGTATTTATGGCAAGCGACTATTTTTTGAAAAATCAATATCTCAAGAAAGGTACATTATTTTTGGCTGAAACTCTCAGGATATTTTAAGGACCATTGGACCTATTTGTGGGCAAAATTTTAGGTCCAAATTCCCTAATTTTGTTTTTACAGTAAATACCTAGGAGGCATTGCACGTAAGCCACAACCCTTTACGACCACCCATGCTCAATTGACTTCATCAATTTGGCTCATATTTTTACAGTAGCTAGGCCTAGCACACCTAGGAATAAATCGAAAGTTTCAGCTCAAACGGATGACGTATTCACGAGATATAGACCTCGCAAGTAGGAGGGGTAGGCCTTGCTTTTAGTAATTTTAATTGCAAAATTTTTCAGTAAATTTTCATTTTGTCGAAAACAACAAAAGATATAGACGAGATATTTTTACAATAAATACTATCAATGATGGGCTACATTTTTATGCTATTAAAATTGTCATATTTTAGAAGGATTTTTATTTGGTATCATAGAGCATTTTTAGAAAACATTCTCACATAGATTTGACGATTGGTCGGATCAGTGTGATAGAATAGACTGAGAGTGGTCTTATTTGAAAGAGCACATCAAAATGCATCGAGTGACGTTTTCTAAGGTTTGGCCTTTTGAACTTCGGTAGCAAAAATGTTTTTAAACAAGACTCGAACGATCAAAATCGGAACCTGGCTCTCATTTTTAAGATTGGTCACTTATTTCGAAACGATTGATTTAAGTGCTTCAGGTGGAAGGCCATGTCGAAAAACCTCTAACCTAAAAATTTCAGCTCATTTGAATTAGTCTGTGAAAAATAGTGAATGAGTCATTTTCGTAAAATATCATAGTAAGCGTATGGAGCATGTGCAATTTTTCTCATATCCATATTNAAAGAGCGTAAAATTCTGCACGAAATCGCATACTAACCAACTAAAAATAATCAACACCAGTAAAAATTTCTTAGCAAATACTATGTTTTCACCCACATTTTTGGGACGCCATCGACTTTCATGCAGCTCAGTCACTTACGAATTCATCCTATGATGGAGTTTCTTCTTCATGGTCAGATGCGGTTTTCGACGGGCTACACGATGGTATGCTTTTTATCTTGAAATTTCATTGACCAAAAAATTTAACAAGGACAATACCGCTGGAAAGAGTGATTTTTTCATATGTATCGTTCCTTTTGGGTTCCAAAATGCTTAAGAAATGTCTTTATGATGGACTTTCGTCTTCATGGATAGATGCAGTTTTGGACGGGCTTTACGATGGTGTGCTTTTTTCTCAAAATTCCATTGGCCAAAAATTTTCACAGGGAGAATACTACTGAAAAGAGTGGTTTTTTCCAATGTATCGTTCCTTTTGGGTTCCAAAGTGCTTAAGAAATGTCTTTACGATGGACTTTCGTCTCCATGAATTGATACAGTTTTTGACGGGCTACACGACGGTATGCTTTTCATGTCGAAATTTCATTGGCCAAAAAACTTCACAAGGACAATACTTCCTAGAACAGTGATTATTTCAAGTCCATGATATCTTTACGCTTCCAAAGTGCTTAAGAAATGTCTTTATGATGAACTTTCATGTTCAGGGTTAGATGTAGTTTTTCACGTACTGCAATTTGGCATAGTTTTCATATCGAGATTTCATTGGTGAAATTTTTTCTAGAGTCAATACCGCTCGAACTTGCGGTTTTTTCGATTTCAGACTTGAAAGCCAC